ACCTACTCCCCCAGTAGAAAGACTAGAGGATGGAGGTGGCTAGATCACCTCCATGCCCTGCCTGGTTGTCATAGTGACCCATAATCGTGTTGTCAACGGCCCTGAGCACCCAGGGAGCCCCAGTTTGGGGACAAAGCGGCCCAGGGAGCTGGATGGGTGGTGAGGACAGGGTGGGCACCCCAGCAGAGGAGCAATGGTAGAGCCCTGAGGCTGTGGGGATTGGGGCACAGCCATGGCTGATCTGCCATGGCCCCCCGAGGCTGGTAGCTGCTGGAGCAGGGTCCTGCACGGACCCCTACACCATGCTGGAGCTGGGAGAGGAGGCAGTAGGCACAGACCAGGTTGAACTCACTGAAGCAGGGCAGTGCCCACCCCAATAGTGCTGGGCCTGGGGCAGGCAGGCCTGAGCTCTAGTCTGGGGCAAAGCTGGGAGCCGGGCTGGCAGGAGGCAGAGGAGCAAGGCCAGGGCTTGAAGCAGGAGTGAGGGGCAGCCTGTGACCGAGATCCGCCCCCCATTCCTGCTTTCCCTGGACCAGCCGGTGAGGCTTGAGGCTTCAGAGATATGTGCAGGCAAGCAGGGCTCTCCCTAGGGGGCACCAGCAGCCGCTGGAGGAGGAGAGGGGTGGGCACAGCCTGAGCAGGGCGTGACTACCACCACCAAGAGCTGGGGCAGAGAGCACTGGGGGGCAAGGGGTGCAGGCAGGTGGACAAACCCCCCAGGACAGGCAGCCTCCAGGGCAGGCAACACATAATCTTCCCAGCGCCAGGAGCGGCAGGACCGGGGGTACCAGAGGGCAGGCAGGAGCCACGTGGGGCTGAGGGAAGCAGTGCCCAGTGCCAGCAGGCCCTGGGCAGTGTGGGGTTCCATCCCAGCCTCCACGCAGGGCAGCTTGCCTGAGGGTTTCACCTCTGCAGGACGCTGGTGGACTGCGTGCCGCTGGTGGAGGTCGAAGACATGATGATCATGGGGAAGAAGCCAGACGCCAAGTGCGTCTTCACCTACGTGCAGTCCCTCTACAACCACCTGCGTCGCCACGAGTTGCGCATGCGGCAGAAAGAGTGCTAGAGCCTGCCCTGCCCACCCCCCTACTGTCCTTGCTGCCAGGGCTGCCAGTGGGCAGGGGAGCTGCCTGCCCCAGGAGGGTCTGGCAGGGCCACAGGTCTGGCACTGGGGACAGGGGGAACTCTGACACCCAGACAGTCCCATGCCTCTGCCTTGCCAGAGCTGCCTCTGCCCCAGCCAGCTGCGGGCTGACCCCATGAGCAGGGCCAGGCAGGCACTGCTGGGGATGCTCCTGGCTTGGCTTGTCCCCTGCGCTCCAGCCTGTTAAGTTATTTGTTCTTCAGGAATTGTGTACCCTGCGGGCAGCACTCCTGTGTCCCTGGGTGGCACAGCTGCACCCTCAGGCCTGGGGCACAGTGTGGGTCAGTGGCTGAGCAGGACCCTGTAGCCTAGCCAGGCATCCCACAGGCAGCACCTGTCAGTGGTTCCCTTGGCTCCCTGTGAGGAAGCCCCTCTGCCCACCGCAGGCCCTGCTTGGTGTCACCTCCCTGGGGACAGCTCCACAGCTGTGCTGACACCCTGCTTCCCACCTTCACGTGCACCTGGGGCACTTCTGCACTAGGGGCTGCAGCACCTGTGGGCTGGGGAGCGGGCAGGGGTGAGAGGTCCCAGGAGAGCACAAGGCTGAAGGAGCGAGCCAGGATGGCAGCCCCTTCTCCCCTCTCCTGCTCAGGGCACCACGCGCTCAGCGCCGCTCGCCCCTCCGTCACGTCTCTACACCTGTAATGACACGTGTACCAACACCAGCCAGACAATAAAGGTTTACCTAGGGTGATGCCTCTGTTTCAGGTCCTTGTACCAGTGGCACAGCCCATACTGCAGTGCCTGAGGAGCACTGGCAGTCTGGCCACTCCTGGCCTCTCTGCCTGCAGCCCCACTGCTTGCCCAGCCTGGAGGGACACGGTACTCCTCCACTCATTGATAATGTCTGGAGCTGAGGGGCCCCTTCAGTGCCCCACTCTGACCAGTGCTGTTGGTTTGCTGTGCGCCCCCCCTGCCCCCCATCACCCTCAGGCCTGGCTGTGCCCTGCTTCCTTCCCTGGCTCAGGACCAGATGTCTCCACTGGGCTAGCACAGCCATGGGGCTACAGCTCAACACTACAGGACCAGCTCATGGGCTCGTGCCCATCCCCCTGTGCCCTGTGAGAGCAGCTGTGGTGCCCACCTTCATCCCTCCATTGTGTGGGGTGGGGGGGTGGCACAGGAACAGCACAGTTCGTTCACAGGTTGGTTTGTGGCTCACCAGCAGTGGCTGTAATCCTGCCATCCTCTCCTGCCTCTGAGCAGCTCTGGGGCACCCAGCTCCCCTTGGCACAGAGCAGTGCAGGATGCACACCACCAAGCCTGCCCTGAAAAGATGACACAGTGCAGCCAACTATATATAAAGGCTTTACTGGGTGCTGGATACAAGATAACCCTACTGGGGGGTAAAGCCCTCTCCCTGGGGCAGCTCTCCCACCTTTGGGACTCAGCACATCTACCCTTAGCACCTGTCGCTTTCTGCTGAGGGTTTCATCCTGTCCCATGCAGGTAGGATGCAGCTGCCCAGTTGCCGGGAGCAGCTAAACCTCCGGGCACAGCAAGGGAGTGCAAGGAATGCTGCTCCTCCCAACTGGCCAGGGATAACAGGCTGCAGGCATGGGAAGGCAACGACCACCACATGGGAACCTTGGGATGCCCACAGTGCCCAGGAAGCCCCTGCTCAAAGTCTGAGCTACTCAGGGCATCCTTGGAGCAGAGGCTACACAGCACCAAGCAAGAGCGGGGGGGGGGCAGCTCTGCCACTCCACAGCACTATCCCCAGCTGCTGTAACACCCTCGTTCCCTGTGCTGTGGACTGGCTGCAGGACCCTGTCCCAAGTGCAGCACTCCTCACTAGAGGTCTGGGTGTTCTCCCTTGTCACGTTTGAGTGGGGTCTTGATGCCAGTGGTGGATGCTTGGGGGGGTGGCAGTGTGGGCAGAGGCTTGGCAGGGGCAAACTGGAACTCCTCGGGCACGGGGGCATCAGGCGTCTCCTTGCGGTAGAAGCCCAGCTCCTGCACCAGCCGGTTGATCTCCTCCCGGGTCATGTCACTCAGGGGGATTCTCTGCGCCCAGACAGGGGCTGCAGCCTGGCATCCACAGAGCACTGACCACCCCAGGCCCTGTAGCAGTGGGTGCCATGCTGCCCACTCACCTCCAGCTCCTCGTACCGGTGGCTGAGGAGCACGAGCTCGGGGTCAGCACCGGGCAGGTGTTTCATCTCCAGGTTATGGCTGGATGATGTGTCAAGGAGCAGACAGCACTGGGCAGGACCATGCAGCCCCTGTCCCATCACATCCCATTCCATCCTCCATCACATCCCACTTCTGCCCATTCTATACTGTCCTCCATCCCTTCTGTCACATCGCATTTTCTCCCATCCCATCCTTCATTGTATCACATCCCTTCCTGTCCTACATGTCATATCACACCATCCTCCATATCCTCCTATCCTGCCCTGACCCATCCCATCCCCCAACCATCCCGTCCTCGACTCTTCACCCAGCCCCATCCTCCATCTGATCCTTCCCTCAGCCCGTCCCATCTTCCATCCCATCCCTTCACACCCTGTCCCCTCGCATCCTGTCCCGCCCCTGTCCCATCCCATCCCGTCCCATCCCATCCTGTGCACTCCTGCAGGGCCCCAGCGCTGCCGCCTCCGCCGGGTACTAGAGCGGGATGTCCTGGGTGACGAATGCCTTCAC